AAAAAATTTTCATACTTGCGTCTGGTTTTCGCAATGGTTCTTGCAGAGTGGAGTTTAACATTTATTTCAAATGCAACACGGAAAGTAAAAAAACTGAATTTTGAGAGCCTTTTGTAGGACAAAGTTCCGTATGTAAAACGAGGAAAGTTAAGATTGTGAGCCATCATCAGGCAATTTTTGACAATTTTCACACAGTTGTGTTTGGTTGGCGAGGTTGTTTTTGCAGCCCGGAGTTTGCCACTGATTTATTCAGAAACTAATGAAAGCAGACAGACGTTTTTCGATGTATTTCATAGGATAAAGTCTGTTACATAAGTGCAAAAAGTTTTGATTTTCAGTCATTATCAGAAAATTTTCGAAAAATTTTCAAATTCGCGTCTGGTTTTTGCAATGGTTCTTGCAGAGAGGAGTTTAGCATTTATATCAAATGCAACATGGAAAGTAAAAAACTGACTTTTGGGAGCATTTTGTAGGACAAAGTCTCGTATATAAAACGAGGATAGTTAAAAGTGTGAGTCATCATCAGGCAATTATTGCCAATTTTTCAAAAATGCGTTTGGATGGCGAGGTTGTTTTTGCAGCCCGGAGTTTGCCACTCATTGATTCAGGAACTAATGAAAGCAGAGAAACGCTTTTCTATGTATTTTATAGGGCAAAGCCTGTTTTATAAGTGCAAAAAGTTTCGATTTTCAGTCATTATCAGGAAATTTTCAAAACATTTTCAAATTCGCGTCTGGTTTTCGCAATGGTTCTTGCAGAGTGGAGTTTAGCATTTATGTCAAATGCAACATGGAGCCTTTTGTATGACAAAGTCCCGTATGTAAAACAAGGAAAGTTACGATTGTGAGCCATCATCAGGCAATTTTTGACAATTTTGACACAGTTGTGTTTGGTTGGCGAGGTGGTTTTTGCAGCCCGGAGTTTGCCACTCATTTATTCAGGAACTAATGAAAGCAGACAGACGTTTTTCGATGTATTTCATAGGATAAAGTCTGTTACATAATTGCAAAAAGTTTTGATTTTCAGTCATTATCAAGAAATTTTCAAAAAATTTTCAAACTTGCGGCTGGTTTTCGCAATAGTTCTTGCAGAGTGGAGTTTAGCATTTATGTCAAATGCAACATGGAGAGTAAAAAACTGACTTTTGAGAGCATTTTCTAGGACAAAGTCTCGTATACAAAACGCGGATAGTTACGAGTGTGAGTCATCATCAGGCAATTTTTGCCAATTTTTCAAAAATGCGTTTGGTTGGCGAAGTTGCCTTTGCAGCCCGTAGTTTGCCACTCATTTATTCAGAAACTAACGAAAGCAAAGAGACGCTTTTGTATGTATTTCATATGGCAAAGTATGTTGTATAAGGGCAAAAAGTTTTGATTTTCAGTCATTATCAGGAAATTTTCAAAAAATTTTCATACTTGCGTCTGGTTTTCGCAATGGTTCTTGCAGAGTGGAGTTTAACATTTATTTCAAATGCAACATGGAAAGTAAAAAACTGAATTTTGAGAGCATTTTGTAGAACAAAGTCTCGTATACAAAACGGGGAAAGTTACGATTGTGAATCATCATCAGGCAATTTTTGCCCATTTTTCAAAAATGCGTTTGGTTGGCGAGGTTACTTTTGCACTCCGGAGTTTGCCACTCATTTATTCAGGAATTAACGAAATCAGAGAGGCGCTTTCTATGTATTTAATAGGGCAATGTCTGTTTTATAAACGATAAGAAGAAAAACGACATACAGGAGAGAAGCAAAATAGCTCTAGCAAAACGAAACGGAATGAAATACACCAGAAACTTCAAGGTTTTAAGTGAAGAAGCAGAAGAGTTAAGACGCGTAGTAAACTGTGCTGAAAACCCCTATGAAGATGATGAAGAATCACCCGGAAAACTGAGCTGGAAGAGAGCTGTTGAATAAGAAGAAAAAGCACACAACCATATAGAAGATTCAGAAACACCATAATCTTCAAGGCTCAAAGTGTCGATGCTCAAGAGTTAAGACGCGTAGAAAAGTGTGCTAAAAGCCCCTATGAAGGTGTTGAAGAAACACGCAAAAAAACTGAACTGAAAGTGAGCACTTGAATAAGAAGAAAAACGACATACAGGAGAGAAGCAAAATAGCTCTAGCAAAACGAAACGGAATGAAATACACCAGAAACTTCAAGGTTTTAAGTGAAGAAGCAGAAGAGTTAAGACGCGCAGTAATGTGGGCGGAAAACCCCTATGAAGATGATGAACAATCACCCGGAAAACTGAGCTGCAAGAAAGCTCTTGAATAAGAAGAAAATGCACGCAAACAAAAAGATGATTGAAAAACACCATAATTCTCAAGACTCAAAGTGACGAAGCTGAAGAGTTCAGACGCGTAGAAAAGTGTGCTGAAAGCTCCTATGAAGGTGATGAAGAAACACACGGAAAACTGAACTAAAAGAGAGCACTTATTAAGAAGAAAAACGACATACAGGAGAGAAGCAAAATAGCTCTAAGCTAAACGAAACGGAATGAAAGACACCAGGAACTTCAAGGCTTTAAGTGAGGAAGCAGAAGAGTTGAGACGCGTAGTAAACTGTGCTGAAAAACCCTATAAAGATGATGAAGAATCACCCGGAAAACTGATCTGAAGAGAGCTTTTGAATAAGAAGAAAAAGCACCCAACAAAAAAGAAGATTGAAAAACACCATAGTCTTCAAAGCGCAAAGTGACGAAGCTGAAGAGTTAAGACGCGCAGAAAAGTGTGCTGAAAGCCCTTATGAAGGCGATGAAGAAACACGCGGACAACTGAACTGAAAGAGAGCACTTGAATAGGAAGAAAAAGCAGGCAAACGAGAAGAAGCAAACGAGCGCTAAGCTAAATAAAATGCAGCGAAAGACACCAGAATCTTCAGGGTTTTAAGTGACGAAGCAGAAGAGTAAAGACGCGTAGAAAAGTGTGCTAAAAAACTTTTGAAGATGCTGAAGAACCATGCGACAAAATGAACTGAAAATGCGTACTTGATGCCGAAGGAAGAACAGTAAAGAGAGGTGAAGTAACGCAGAAAAACACAAGAACCGTAGATGTTCAAAGAACTGAACTGAAAGTAAGTAGAAAAGTAACGAGCGTTGATTAAGAAGACACTAACCCAAACAGTAATAAAAAAGGAAGCAATAGAGCTCTATCTAGCCTGATTAGCAAGGAAAATGGACTTTTCTCACATCCTCAAAAGCGAAACAGTTACTGCATGGACGTAGTTTTAACAATTGGAAAGTTGACGGCTTTTTAGTCAATAAGCAGTTGGTCCAGGTTCAGACGTTTCGCCAGCACACATTCGCATAACCCTTAGACATGCGTCCCAAAAGGCCCCAAGTTCCCCCATGAAAAGCCACCAACACAAAATACACCTTTTAAAGCAATTATGGGAAAATTAAACTACAAAGAGCCTTCCTAATGATCCGCCGCTGACCTCTGGCTTCACCCCTAAATAGGCTCCAGTTTAATGAGCGCCAGATAAAAAAATCTTGAGAATCGGACGTAAATTACAAATAAATGTAGAAATCGAGTGCCGAGCTCACGCAAGCCCTTGCTCCGGCCGAGACACTAATTTATGCCGATTAGGCCAGTGGGTTTTAAAAGGTCACACACGCGATTCCGGCCGATAAAATTGCCTATTGTCATTAGGACTTCGATCCGGACGTAACAGGTCGATGGGACTTGGCACAATTTCCACTTAAAAGATAAAAAATTGAGCAAATCAACACAGTGTTTCGGCGTTTTATGGTAATTTGGCTGTTGCTCGGGCAAAAAGTTTCTTTATCCCCGGTGGGTTTTTATGAAAATGGTTTTGGGTCTCTATATGTGAGTTGTCTTCCCCCATCTGCTGGCAGACCTGTAGATGTTTTTCGGTTCTTTTTCCATTTCCTGGGGAGAAGTGGATGGCTGCTTAGTAGCAGGGAGCATGCCATTGGCCCGTGCAGAGAACTACCTTCCACTCACTGAGTTTCATATTGAAGCAGTGCTGGTGGGGAGTTGTAGGCTAATGTTTAAAAGAGCAGCAGCCTTCAGGCCTATCTGGGGTCCTTGGGGGTGTAGGCGTCTTCTACAACCCTCCTGGGGAATATGCTGGGAGGGATTGTTGGATAGAATTCTGCCACCCCGAGCAGTCCTTACAACGTCCTATTGTTATTAGCCGCAGGATGTTGAGGCCAGAGGAGTTTTGCTCAATATCAACTCCCCCTGTAGAAGTAGAGCCTTGAAAGTGCCCAAACTAACTTCCCAGTGCTCGCTTGATGAAATCCTGCATAAAGAGGTTGAGGCAATCGATCATTTTGTATATAATTAATTGAAAAGCGCGCAACAGGACCCGGGTAAGATTACGTTGTCAATCCTCCTCGTTCGAGGAATTCGAGCACGTTGTGAGGCTTTGTTAGACTTCGCGGGTGATCATTACGGCGTTTTTAAAGGATAATTAGAGCCCCTTTTCTGCTGTCATGCGGTAATTACTTTGTGCCCGGGGAAAACGGGCTTTGTTGCCGTATTGACGTTCCAGATGGAACGAATTGTGTGTACACCTGACCTAAAAAAACCCGAACCAACTCCATGACATGTCCCGAAATAGATAAATCGCCCCTTGCCCCAATGTGGAAAAGTAATTGAAATTTATGCTCGTCACGTTATAATGTCTGGATGCATCGGCTGGTCGGCGATTTAATTAAATAAGTGGCCGATATGGATCTACAATGTGCGAAAAAACTGGAAAACCACTGTTTGCGGCATGAAACGCTGCAAAATCAGACTGGTGCACTTTGGATCGCGTGAGACATCGACAAAGGCCACCAAAAGCTGAATTTTTCCTTATGATTTATAACAGCTGCTTTCCAGACATGCGATTTGCATGTTCCCTGCCAGACTTTGGCTCTTTCCTGTTTATTTGCCGCACTGTCTAGTGGATTAATTGTTATTTATTTTCGCTTTCTTCATTTGCCTTTGTCTTCTGTTTAATCCGATATTGATGCCTGATTGCTTTTCAGGTGTCAAGGCTCCCATCCAGAGCCCTGCTGAGCAGTAGCATGTCCTCAACCGACCTAATTTGTTGACAATTATTACGTAAGTAAATTATTTTTGTTTATTATTTTTATTAAAAAGGAAGAATTTATGTGATCCGGAACCAGGCCTTGACGGTGTTCCACCGGCACGAGAAAAACCATCATCAGGCAATTTTCAAGGGTCGGTTTTCGTGGTGTTTTTTGCAGGACGCGGTTTGGCATTTATGTTCCCTATATGTGGCTGATTGAGAAATCCAGTTTTGAGGGCCCTCTGCAGGGCTAAGTCCCTTCACATACGTCAACAGAGTTTCGATTTTTAGTCATCATCAGGCAATTTTCAAATAATATATAGATCACATCAGGATTTTCAAGGCAGATTTTACAGGTTGGATTTTAGCATTTATTTCAAATGCAACATGGAAAATAAAAAACCGAATGTTGAGAGCATTTTGTAGAACAAAGTTTCGTGTATAAAACGAGGAAAGTTACGATTGTGAGCCATTCTCAGGCAATTTTTGACAATTTTTCAAAGTTGCGTTTGGTTGGCGAGGTTGTTTTTGCAGCCCGGAGTTTGCCACTGATTTATTCAGAAACTAATTGAAGCAGACAGACGCTTTTGTATGTATTTCATATGGCAAAGTATGTTGTATAAGTGCAAAAAGTTTTGATTTTCAGTCATTATCAGGAAATTTTCAAAAAATTTTCATACTTGCGTCTGGTTTTCGCAATGGTTCTTGCAGAGTGGAGTTTAACATTTATTTCAAATGCAACACGGAAAGTAAAAAAACTGAATTTTGAGAGCCTTTTGTAGGACAAAGTTCCGTATGTAAAACGAGGAAAGTTAAGATTGTGAGCCATCATCAGGCAATTTTTGACAATTTTCACACAGTTGTGTTTGGTTGGCGAGGTTGTTTTTGCAGCCCGGAGTTTGCCACTGATTTATTCAGAAACTAATGAAAGCAGACAGACGTTTTTCGATGTATTTCATAGGATAAAGTCTGTTACATAAGTGCAAAAAGTTTTGATTTTCAGTCATTATCAGAAAATTTTCGAAAAATTTTCAAATTCGCGTCTGGTTTTTGCAATGGTTCTTGCAGAGAGGAGTTTAGCATTTATATCAAATGCAACATGGAAAGTAAAAAACTGACTTTTGGGAGCATTTTGTAGGACAAAGTCTCGTATATAAAACGAGGATAGTTAAAAGTGTGAGTCATCATCAGGCAATTATTGCCAATTTTTCAAAAATGCGTTTGGATGGCGAGGTTGTTTTTGCAGCCCGGAGTTTGCCACTCATTGATTCAGGAACTAATGAAAGCAGAGAAACGCTTTTCTATGTATTTTATAGGGCAAAGCCTGTTTTATAAGTGCAAAAAGTTTCGATTTTCAGTCATTATCAGGAAATTTTCAAAACATTTTCAAATTCGCGTCTGGTTTTCGCAATGGTTCTTGCAGAGTGGAGTTTAGCATTTATGTCAAATGCAACATGGAGCCTTTTGTATGACAAAGTCCCGTATGTAAAACAAGGAAAGTTACGATTGTGAGCCATCATCAGGCAATTTTTGACAATTTTGACACAGTTGTGTTTGGTTGGCGAGGTGGTTTTTGCAGCCCGGAGTTTGCCACTCATTTATTCAGGAACTAATGAAAGCAGACAGACGTTTTTCGATGTATTTCATAGGATAAAGTCTGTTACATAATTGCAAAAAGTTTTGATTTTCAGTCATTATCAAGAAATTTTCAAAAAATTTTCAAACTTGCGGCTGGTTTTCGCAATAGTTCTTGCAGAGTGGAGTTTAGCATTTATGTCAAATGCAACATGGAGAGTAAAAAACTGACTTTTGAGAGCATTTTCTAGGACAAAGTCTCGTATACAAAACGCGGATAGTTACGAGTGTGAGTCATCATCAGGCAATTTTTGCCAATTTTTCAAAAATGCGTTTGGTTGGCGAAGTTGCCTTTGCAGCCCGTAGTTTGCCACTCATTTATTCAGAAACTAACGAAAGCAAAGAGACGCTTTTGTATGTATTTCATATGGCAAAGTATGTTGTATAAGGGCAAAAAGTTTTGATTTTCAGTCATTATCAGGAAATTTTCAAAAAATTTTCATACTTGCGTCTGGTTTTCGCAATGGTTCTTGCAGAGTGGAGTTTAACATTTATTTCAAATGCAACATGGAAAGTAAAAAACTGAATTTTGAGAGCATTTTGTAGAACAAAGTCTCGTATACAAAACGGGGAAAGTTACGATTGTGAATCATCATCAGGCAATTTTTGCCCATTTTTCAAAAATGCGTTTGGTTGGCGAGGTTACTTTTGCACTCCGGAGTTTGCCACTCATTTATTCAGGAATTAACGAAATCAGAGAGGCGCTTTCTATGTATTTAATAGGGCAATGTCTGTTTTATAAACGAAAAAAGTTTTGATTTTCAGTCATCATCAGGAAATTTTCGCAAAATTTGAAATTTGCGTCTGGTTTTCGCAGTGGTTCTTGCAGAATGGAGTTTAGCATTTATTTCAAATGCAACATGGAAAGTAAAAAACTGAACTTTGAGAGCATTTTGTAGACAAAGTCTCGTATATAAAATGAGGAAAGTTACCATTGTGAGTCATCATCAGGAAATTTTTCGAAATGTCGTTTGGTTGTCCAAGTTGTTTTTACATGCTGGAGTTTGGCATTCATTTATTCAGGAAGTGTCGAACTGAGGGAGTCATTTTTATACGTGTTTAGTAGGGTAAAGTTTATTCTACAAGCATCAACAGTTTCGATTTTTCAGTCATCATCAGGAAATTTAAAAAAAATTATTACATCTGGTTTGTGTGGTGAATTTTTGCAGTTTAGCATTTTTTAGTTGTTTGATTTCCTATTTTACTTAAGAAGTGAAAAAGTTAAATTTTCAACTGTTTTGAAGGTCACAGTTTTTTCTGTAAATGATTCGATTTTCACTAATAATCATGCAATTTTGAAGATTTTGTTAAAACAGCGTCGGATTTGGGTGATAGTTTTGCAAGCCGCACTAAAGCATTTATTTTCTTTGTAAATTGGGACGTGCGAAAGTGAATATTGTTGTGAGTTTCGATTTTCAGTCATCATCAAGCAAATCTTGGCAATTTTGCAAAGTTGCCAAGTTGAAATTTATTGTAAGTACCGCATTGATTTATTCAGGAAGGAAAAAAATGAGGGACTCATAATACATTTGTACGTATGTAATAGCGCAAAATCGATTGATGAAATGTAAAATTTTTCAAAAATTTTCAATAATTTTCCAAAATCGCGTGTGGTTTTCGTGATGGTTTTTGCAGACAAGAGTTTAGTTTTTATTTTTTCTTTAACTTTGGAAGTGAGAAAGTTAATTGTGTGCGAATTTTCTGAGGCAATATTCCCCCTATAATTAATTAATACAGAGTTTCGATTTTCAGTCTTCATCAAGCAATTTTTTACAATTTTTCAAAATTATGTTTAGTTGACGAAGTTGCTTTTGCAGGCTGAAGTTTGCCCTTCATTTATTCAGGAAGTAACAAAATAATAGAGTTGATTTTGTATTTATTTTACCAAAAAAAGTATGTTTTACGAGTGGAAAACGTTTCGATCATGAAACAAATTTCAAGAATTTTTCAAAATTGCGTCAGGTTTTTGGCGGAATCTCGAATTTATTTCCGCTGTAGCTTTCAAAGCGAAAAAGCTATATTTAAGGCATTTTATGGGGGCGAAGTGCTTTCTATAAACAATCATAGTTTCGATTTTCAATCCTTATCAGGCAATTTATGAGAATTTGGCAACATTATTTTGTCCGGTTTGGCATTCATTTATTCATTCAGGAACCAACTAAACGAGAAACTCGCTTTTGCATGTATTTGTATCATCAGACAACTGAATCATCAGGCAACTTTCAATAATTTTTCAAAGTTGCTTATGGTTTTCGCAGATATGTAAGTAGGTCGTCGTTTGACATGAATTTTCTCAGGAGCTCGCAGATTTGGAGAATCGCTTTTGCGGAAAATTTATAAGGCTGCTCTATAAGCGACAAACGTTTCGATTTTGAGTAATCTTCAGGAAATGTTCAGGATTTTTTTGGAAAATGTGATTGCAATTTGCGCTTGCTTATACAGGCTGAAGTTTCAGAGCTTTTCCTGCAGAAACCAGTTAAGGTCAAGAGCCATCTTTGCATCTATGTCATTGTCCATTGCCTGTACTATAAAGGGCAAGCGTTTCGATTTTGGGACATCATCAGGCAACTGGCAAAATTTTCTCAAGCTTGCCATGGAATTTTGTGTTTTTTTTCTGCAGGCGTCAGTTCAGAATTTTTTGTCGCGAAAACCTACATCGAAGTTGGAGATTTATTGCTAAGTGCGTTTTTTGAGACAGAGTGCGTTCTAAATTTGGAAAAAGTTTCGATTTTCTGACTTTATCAGGTAATTTTCGAGACTTTTTTAAACATATGATGAAATCTAGCGGCTCTTTATGCAGGCCTAAGTTCGGTGTCCAATTTCCCAGAAACCATTCAAGCTCGGGGTTCAGTTTCAAGTCAATTTTGCAGAGCAATTTGAGTTCTAAATGAGGAAAAAGTTTCGATTTTGAGTCATCATTAGGAACTTTTTGAGAAGGTTCTAAATGTGACTTGGAATTTTCCAAGTTAATTTTGCAGGCGTAAGTTTGGCATTTATTTTCTCAATATCTAGAAGATGTCAATAAAGAGAAGATTTTTCGCAGTCCAAGGTGTGCTTGATAGGCAGTAAACGTTTTGAGTTTGTACCTTCCTCAGGAAGTTTTTACGATTTTTTAAAGAATTTTGTTCGCACTTTTCGTCTGTTTATGCAGGCCGGATTTTCGCAGTTTTTTGGTAAGAAACTAGCGAAGTTTACAATTGACTGTTAAATCAGTTTTGTAGGGCATAGACCAACTTGCAAGTGGCACAGGTTTCGAATTTGGGGCATCATCAGGCTAAATTTTCTGCTGCTAGCAGTTCAATAGTCAAAAACATCTATTTCGAAAAAACACACCATGCTAGAGTTACCCTAAGGGTCTTACAAGCATATACCTATTCCAGACCCGGCCAGGTCCGGTTAGCCCATCGCCGGTCATGCGGTGGGGCTGCTGGCCCTTAATGGGGCTCCTGCTGGCGGCAGCGAGCCCCGCAGCCCCCGCGGCGCGCCGAGGGCGCCATCGATCCGTCCCCATTGAGGGGCCTCGTGCGGAGCCCCTGATGGCGCAACAGGGGTCCAGCACGCGACGGGACCCCTTCGATCCCCACAAGGATTCCGAGGAGTTTAGAAGGTACCGTCCCCTAAGAATTAACAGTAATCAGTTTCATCCCCAATTTTACCGCCCCAATAGGGACGCCCCAGATGACAAAAGAGACTTCCCTAGTCGACTGTCGTCGACGGATGAGGACCCTTTAATCATTCGCACCAATAAGGGAAAAGTCCGCGGGACGACGCTGACTGCGGCAACAGGAAAGAAGGTAATCCCTAATCACTCGACAACTACTGGGGAGTCATTCGCGCTGTTGATGTTTTCAGGTAGACGCCTGGTTGGGCATTCCCTACGCCCAAAAACCCGTAGGGAACCTGCGGTTTAGGCACCCGCGCCCCTATGAGAAATGGGAGGGCGTTATCAATGCCACCAAGCACCCCAACTCCTGCGTACAAATTATTGACACACTGTTTGGAGACTTTCCCGGTAAGCTCCTTGGCCTACGCGACTTCCAGGTTGCAACTGTGCGGGTTTGCAGGTGCTCAAATTTGGAACCCCAACACTCCTCTAAGCGAGGACTGTCTCTACATTAACGTGGTGGTCCCGCGGCCTCGGCCCAAGAATGCTGCGGTGATGGTGTGGGTGTTTGGAGGAGGATTTTACTCCGGCACCAACACTCTTGATGTTTATGACCACAATATTCTGGTAAGTTCTTCCAACAGAACAATTAGCCTTGATCTAGCTCGACCTCGGGGACTCAGAGGGAGTGAGTGAGGAGTAGGCGAATCAAAAGGGATAAACCGGTGCAGAGTGTCAACTAGGGGGGACTTTTTGCTGTAACAGTGAAGATCTTGAAATGTGGTTTAGAGGAGAAATGCTTGAGAAACCCATTTCTTTTGCAGGTATCCGAGGAGAACGTTATAGTAATCTCCATGCAGTATCGGGTGGCATCACTGGGGTTCATCTACTTCGGAACGCCTGACGCTCCTGGCAACACCGGCCTCTTCGATCAGCTGATGGCCTTGCAGTGGGTGCGGGACAACGTGGCAGCCTTCGGAGGAAACCCCCAGAATGTGACCTTGTTCGGTGAAAGCGCCGGCGCCGTCTCCGTCTCCTTGCACCTGCTCTCCCCATTGTCGCGCAACTTATTCTCCCAGGTAAAATCCTCATATTCCTCCTGATTCTCTGGAGAATGGGTGATGGACATTTTAGGCTATCATGGAGTCGGGCAGCGCCACGGCGCCTTGGGCAATAATCTCTCGAGAAGAGAGCATTCTGCGAGGACTCCGATTGGCGGAGGCAGTCAAATGTCCTCATGAAAGAGACAACCTGCCGGCTGTTATCGAGTGTTTAAGATTGAAGGATCCCTTCGACCTCGTTAACAATGAGTGGGGCACTTTGGGTAAATCTCCCCCGTCTAGTTCCCAACCAGAGAGCAAAGAGTTTAAATAAATTTCCAGGAATCTGCGAATTCCCCTTTGTGCCCATCATAGACGGGTCCTTCCTGGATGAATCCCCCGGTCGGGCAATGGCCAATAAAAACTTCAAAAAAACCAACATTCTCATGGGCTCCAACACGGAGGAAGGCTACTATTTCATCATGTACTACCTCACTGAGCTGTTCAGGAAAGAGGAAAACGTCTACATCAGTAGGCAAGTGCCTCCCAACCATCCTACTGATGTCCCTCTTTGCTTTGATTGGCCAATGTTTGTAGGCAAGAATTCCTGGGCGCAGTTACCGAACTGAACCCATATGTTGGGCCTGCGGCACGTCAAGCGATTGTCTTCGAGTACACCGATTGGCTGAATCCAGACGACCCGGTGGCCAATCGGGACGCTCTGGACAAGATGGTCGGAGACTATCAGTTCACGTGCAATGTGAATGAGTTTGCTCATCGCTATGCGGAAACTGGCAACAATGTCTACATGTACTACTTCAAACATCGAACTGTGAGTATAGAGATGGAGAAATAACCATTCCTGAAACTGGAATAATGGTAGTTTTTTGGACGTTTCGCAAGCACGAGTGGCTGGCATGTGTGTGACAGGTGACAGTGACATTAGACACGTATTTACTATTACTCGACAGGACACGTAAAGGTTAACGAACCGTTGCCAACCGTGATGGTTCGAATTAGAATGATGAGGATGCGAACTTTAAATATGAGCGAAACGTCTGAATGAAAGTCGTGTTTGCTGATTTAATAGAAACATTGAAAAAGACGAAACAGGTGTGATTTCTGGCTTTTAGACCGTCGTTAAAAGAAGGTATTCTTAACGTTTCACATGCACAAAGGGCTTGCATCTTCAGAGAAAAAAATTTGGAATGAATCGAAAAGATTTGTCGTGTCTTTACAACGAGTGGCAGTGACACTAGAGGCGTATTTACTATTACTCGACAGGAAATGTCAACTGCACTGTTGCCAACCGTGCAAAAAAATTGCGGTTTACTCATGATTACAGTGGAAGCTGTCCAGCTAATATGTTGAGCATGCAAGGCATGCGGATGAGCGAAACGTCTGCATGAATTTATGTTATTTTTGGGATTTTAGGTAGTTGTGGAAAAAATGTCTTATGGACGTTTCGCAAGCGCGATTGGCGATCTTCAGAGGGACAATTTGATATGGATGTAAACAAACTGATGAAATTAGTTGTCGTTACAGAATGTCAAATTTT